CTTTCTCTGTCTTTTCCTCTCTCTCTCTGTCTCTCTGTAACTCTGTGTTTCAAATGAATAAGTAAATCTAAAAAAGAGAATGTTACATTTATATTGCTAAAAATCCTCAGTACACAATCCAAAACTTATGGAAATCTTAATTTGAATGAGAAAAGATAATTGATAAATGTCAACACCAAGAGAAATAGGTGTTGGAATCATGTGGGAAAGATTTAAAAATAGCTGCCATAAAGTAACTCCAAAAAGCAATTAAGAAAGCTTATGAAATAAATAAAAAGTAGATAATCTTAGCAAAGGAATAAAGAAGAACTAAATGGAAAGGAAAATTCTTCAGACAAAATAAATAATGATTGCAAAAATAAACTTTGTACACCGGAAAAAAAAGAATAAGCAACACAGAGAATAACATATAAGTAAACAAAATAGCATTTAAAAATTGTGACATTGTCTGATGTGTATCTCAATATGTTTTGATATAGGTGTGGTAAAGGAACCTAAAGAGTGTTCATGTTTCTACATTCAACTTGAAGTGGCAGATTGGTAGACTGATAAGTTTGTGTGCAGATGTGGGTATATGTGGACTTAAAAAAGTTCATGGATAAATGGAATTAAAAGATAGTACACATTTTCCATGAAATTTTGAATCCTCTTGGGCGTGTTTTATAATTTCTAAAGTAAATCCAAATATTATTTGAAGAGATACATTAAAAAGAAACACACAGGTTAAAAAAAGTTTATGAAGACTAACAAGAAGGTTAGAAAGGACAAACAGGAATAACATCAAAAGGAGAAAAAATAAAGCTAGTATTAAAATGGCAGATTTAGATCCTAATTTACCAACAAACATATTCAATATAGAAGATGTAACTAAACAAATTAAAAGAGACCGGTAGAATTAATTTTAAAACTATGAGCAGTCTGTATACTCTCTATAAGAAATACATCTTAAATGATATAGGTAAATTAAAAGAATACAAAGTATATTTTGCAAATACTAATCAAAGAAAGCTTGGAATGTCTATGTTCACATTAGACAAGATAGACTTGAGAACAAAGGAAATTACCAGTGAAGAAGAGGGGCATTACATAATGATTTTTAGTTTTTAAATGGATAAAGATTTTTTTGAAGATTTATTTATTTACTTGAAAGAGTTACACAGAGAGAGATGGAGACGCTGAGAAGCAGAGAGAGGGAGAAAGAGTTTCCATCCACTAGTTCATTCCCCACATGGCTACAATGGCTGGAGCTGGGTTGATTGGGACCTTCTTCTGGGTCTGCCAGGTAGGTGAACCAGCACCCATATGGGATGCAGGCACTGCAGGTGGTGTCTTTATCCACTATGCCATAGTGCTGGACCTATACATAATGATTTTTAGAAAGTTAATTTGTTAAGGAGACATAACAGTTTCCAATTTATGAGCCCAATAATAGAGCTTCAAAATAAATGAAGAAAAAATAGACAGAACTGGAAGAAGAAATAGACAAATCCACAACTATAGTTGAGTGCTATAACATCCCTATCTTAGTAACTGATGTAACCATTAATAGAAATCATCAAAGATAGAGCTGAATAGCATCAACTATTAAACAGAAAACCATCAAAATAGAGAAGAGCTGAACAACATCAACCAACAGGCTCTAAGTGACATTTCTACAATACCCAACCCATGAACAGCAGAGGACACATTCTTTTCAAGTGTTCACAGAACATATACCAACATAGACTATATGCTGGGCCATAAAACAAACCTTAGCAAATTTAAAAGAATTTAGGTCATACAGAGGAGTTCTGTGTTCACAATGGAATCAAATTAGAAATTAGTGTCAAAGTTAACAAGATATCTAGACATTTGGACTCTGAACATATGTACTTTTAAGTCATGAGTTAAAGAGGAACTCTGTATTATTCAATATATAATTTGGAAATATTTTCCCATTTAGTAGTTTATCTTTTCATTTTTTGATGCCAGCTGATTTTTGAAAAAAAAAAATGCAAAGCAGTTAAATGAACTTTATCTCACATCATACACAAAATATAACTCAAAATCGATCAGTTATCTTAGTATAATTGCTAAAATTAAAACTCTTAGGAGAAAACATAGTCTCATATTTGATAATGAATTTTCAGGTAAGACATCAAAAGCACAAGCAACAGAAGAAAAAAAAATTGAACTTTTTCAAAATTAGATACTTTTGGGACTGGCACTGTGGCACAGAGGGTTAAAGCCCCGGCCCGAAGTGCCAGCATCCCATATGGGCGCTGGTTCTAGTCTCGGCTGTTCTGTTTCCGATCCAGCTCTCTGTGATGGCCTGGGAAAACAGTGGAAGATGGCCCAAGTCCTTGAGCCTCTGTACCCACGTGGGAAGCCTGGAAGAAATTCCTGGCTCCTGACTTCGGATCTGCTCAGCTCCAGCCATTAAAGCCATTTGGGAGAGTGACCCAGCGGATAGAAGATCTCTTTCTCTCTCTCTACCTCTCTCTGTAACTGTCTTTCAAATAAATAAATAAATCTTAAAAAAAAACAAAATTAGAAACTTTTATTAAGCTTTTTTTTTTTTGATAGGTAGAGTTATAGACAGTGAGAGAGGAAATTTCTTTCTTCTGTTGGTTCACTCCCCAAATGGCCGCTACTGCCGGCGCTGCGCCGATTCGAAGCCAGGAGCCAGGTGCTTCTTCCTGGTCTCCCAAGTGGGTTCAGGGGCCCAAGCACTTGGGCCATCCTCCACTGCCTTCCCAGGCCGCAGCAGAGAGCTGGACTGGAAGAGGAGCAACCAGGACTAGAACCTGGCGCCCATATAAAATGCCAGCGCTGCAGGAGGAGGATTAACCAAGTGAGCCATGGCGCCGGCCCCAGAAACTTTTGCATATCAAATGGTATTGTCAAGATAGCACAAAGATAACTTATATAATGGGAGGAAAAATTGCAAATCACGTGTCTGATGAGGATTTATGTCTATCTAAAATATAAATATATAAACTTCAGCTGCACAACAGAAAGACAACCCAATTTAAAAATGTTAAGTTACTGAATAGACGTTCTGAAAAGAAGACATACAGATTGACAGCAAGTATGTGAAAGGATATGCAGCATCACTAAGCATCAGAAAAATGCGGCTCAAAACCACAATTAGCACTTCACATCTACTAGTATGGCTGTAATTAAAAAGTGGAATATAACAGATGTTGGTGAGGATGTTAAGAAATTGGAAATCTTGTACATTGCTGGTGGTAATGTAAAGTGGTACAGCTACTATGAAAAAACAACTGGGTACTTAAAAGAGCTTAACACAGAATTGAATTGCAATTCCAAGTCTAGGTCTACACCTAAAGAATTGAAAACAGGAACTGAAACAGATACTTGTAAGTCCATGTTAGTTGCAGCAGTATTCACAGTAACTAAAAGATGGAAACAACCCAAGTATCCATCACTAGATGAATGGATTAACAACATGTGCTATATATACATGCAATGGGTTATTTCAAGCATGAATATGAATGAAGTCTGCTACAATATGGATGTTAGAATTTGGGACCTTGAATATGTTACACTAAAGGAAATAAGCTAGACACAAAAGGATAAATAATGTATGACCATAGTTAAATTAAATATCTAGAATAAATACATGAAACAAAAGGCAAATTAGAAATGAATTGGTATTTAGTTATATATTCAAGGGACCGATTCTATCCTACAAATTCTGTCTTGACATCTACTTATTCTCATTTGTTTCTCCTCATTTCAGAAAAATAGGTGGGTCCCTTTTAGACTCCTCCTCTCTGTACCTATACAACAATCTGATATTCCCCTATGGGAAGGATGCCTATGTAATGAAAGATTTTATTTCATTTATGTCCTTTATCTCAGAGAGCATATTATGCTCTCTGCCAATTGACTGAAAATAATTAGATGTAGTTCCTTTATTTTGCCCAGTTTTCTAGTTGTTTATGGCAGGAGACTAAGTCATCACCCTTCTTCATGGCCATTATAGATACTCCCTTCATAGATATTTTAATGAAAAGGGAATATTATTCGAGTTTTATAAAAGAGATTCTCTAAAGCCGTTAATAGGACCAGGAACCTTTCTAATGTGGAGGGTCTAGGACCAGAAATACTCAGGGCAGATGCCTGGTTGGGAAAAGGTGTCGCTCCCCCTCTTCGTGGAGGAACGACACTAAACCCTGCGCTGTTCTTTCGTCTGCTCGGCCCTCCCCGGGTTTGCTGCTGGTTCTTCCCGGGTTGGCTACCGACCCTTCCACCTCCGTGGAAGGGCGGTTCCCCCTGCCACATTCCCCACTTCCGCGGGGGAGCGGCACACCGCCGGCCGGCTCTTCTCGGGGGCTGCACAGGTGTTCCCCTTAGATGTTCCTCTTAGATGTTCCCGGTGCATGCCGTCTCTCTCCTCCTTTATAGTCCTCCTCCACCAATCCCAACTCGGCTGCCCAAACGCCGAGTACGCTGCTCTCCTCCAATCAGGAGCAAGTCCTACAGTTTATTGGCTGAACTGGAGGCAGCTGTGTAAAAGCTGTTTTCTCCTCTCCCAGCGCCATATTGTGGGAGAGCAGATGCATAGAATAAGTCTTAATTCCAGTAACTTAGTCTAGTCCGAGTTGCTCCCCACAAAAGGGTCAGAAAAACAGACAAATTGTGTAAATGTATATGCAATATACTTCCTGGGATTCAGGATCCTGCCTTATCCTCAACCCTATTTTCTTATTCTCAAGCCATTACTGTAACCATTGCTTCTTTTATGCCAGAAAACCGCTAAATAAATGTTTACCATTACTAATGTGATTATGTGTCATGAAATATTGATTCCTAGGACTGAAAAATACTGACAAATTGCAAATGACTTGTTCTTAGTGCTTTGGTGTGATTTGAGAGGCAGTAAGGGACCCTTGTAGGACTTGTAACCTTGAAGGACTTTCTGGGGATCCTGTCTGTCAGGGTGGCTAAGTTCAGCCTGTCTACCCCTGCCTCTCTCCTTCCTCTGCTTGCAGTATTGATCGTGTGCCTTTCCACATGCATGACTTTGACTTGAGAAGAACGACCAATATCGAGGAGGTCCTGCCAGAAGCTGCACTTCAGCATCCTGCCCTCTTCAATTGGACATTCCTGTCGACTCTGAATGCAGGCAGATGGTTTATAGACCCATGGGTAAGAAACGTTCCCGAGTTCCACAAACCTGCATCGAATCCCTCATATGTTCAGGGTCATGTGCTGCTCCTGGAAATAAAGGCCATAAATGAAGACAGGCAAGTGTACACAGTTTCATCCCAGTTTGAAGCAGGACTATGGAATTGGCAGGAGGTCTTTTCTGGTAATGCAATAGATCTGATTTCTTTTTTGTACATTTGCCAAAATGTCTGAAGACAAACTTGTGAACTTATTCTTGTCATATAATTCTCTTTTATCCAGGTATTTCATAAATTTATTCAATGCATCCATATGTATGTGGCATTTTCCTGTATTTTATTTGTAGAACCAGAAGTTTGTTTCATTTCTAACTTTGTTATTTCCTAGGGCTTTTTGAAAATGTTCAACCAAGTGTTGTATACAATCTAAACAAGCATTGTCCCTTTCTGGATTATTTTTCTGATTAAACCCCTTGTTTTATATGCAAAAAAGACTTAATTTACTTCAGCTGTTATATCTAACCCCCCATAATACTATTTAAAGCTCCTTGGAGTCTAGTTTTAAACTCTATTGGTTAATCGTTATCATTTTTGAATATTTGGTTCTGTTTTGAACTTTCCCATCCTGTTCTTTTAACATTTTCCTCACTTGAAGGCCTAACAAGTAAGTGAACTAGTTGGTCTGGATCTGGTAGCATCTAAAAACGTCTTGATTTCTAAAATGAATTTTTGTTTCCTTGGCAATTAACAAAACCTTTAATTGTAGCCCTCCACTCAAATACAAATCATATAGACCATGGTTTAATTCAGTTTCTGTGATCTGCCCTCTTATATACCAATTTTATGGGCTATTGTACAAGTGATTATTCCCTTTCTTGAGAAAAATGAGAAAGAATAGTTTTTTTTTGGAGGCTAATGGCAAGAGGTGAGGAAATAATATAAGTGTGAATGAGAATGAAAATGAAGTTGTGTAAAGAAAAATATTATTTGAGTTTTAAAGCCAACACTTGTGTTCTTTTTTTGTTACACAATTCTAGAACAGTGAGAGCTCATGCAAGAAGCCAGCATGACTGAAAAGTTATGTATTACTTCAAGTTATGGGGAAAGAGGCTGGAAAGGAAGGTCAAGAACAGAATGAAGGACTTTCAGTGCAGATACAGCAGGTTCTAGATTACAGAAGAAATGATTCCAAATGCCATAATTACTGATGGAGATCACATTTTATTTCTCTCCATGTCATCTTTTATCTTAGAACTAGTATTTCAGAGGGCCTGGTGAATTGAGTGTTAATGGCACAGTATGGAACTCAGTGTGGGAATATACAGTAGGAGAACTAGAAAATGATTTTGATAGGAACCAATGTATTCTTTGATGTGTTTATTTTTAGCGCAAACCGTTTTTCAATATGAAACCTCTATCAGAGGCTGATAAAAACAGAGCAAGAAACCAGTCGATTCCAAAACTAGATGATTTATTGGAACTTGCAAAGAAGGCAAATAAATTTGTGATATTTGATCTTTATGGCCCTCCAGCGAAACATCCTCTCAACTACTCATTTGTTAAGCATGTAACAAAAGTGATCCTTGACTCTAAAATTGAGCCACATCTGGTATGTCTATCTTGGTATTATAGTAGAGGTTGGGAGGTGGGTACCTTGTCCCAGGAGCATAGTAGTTGTGTTTGACCTACCTTGTAATTCTTGCCTGAGAGCTTTAAGTAATTTACTTTCTATGGAAGTGGAGATTGTTACTTACACAGTTACATGAGATAATCTAAGAGTGAATCAGAGAAATTTATGTCAGTGAGGAAGAACATTGAAGCTATTTGCTATCCCAAACCAAGTGAAATACTAGCAACAGAGCTAAAGTGTGGTGTGTGTAATAACTACGTGATGTGACCTGTACCATCACCAATGTAGATTTGTTAGAAAGAGCCTAAGCTTTGAAGGCTTGACTTTCCTGAGTGTGATAGAAAGACAACTGGTTCTTGAGATTTACTCATGTTTTTTAGAAGTAATTGTGTTTGAGCAGTTAATTATTCCAAATCACTTAAATTCTCAGAAAATGGGAATACTGTGAGTGAAACAAATATCTGTCTTCTTGCAAATAGAGCTGTTTCCACAGATGAATCATAATACTGTCCCTGTTGGCGAGAAATGACTCCTCTCAGGTGATTTTTAGGAACATCAACCACAGATATTTTGATTACCACCTTTCATCCCATATTTACCAACTCTTTGGTAGTATGAGGTTTTCTGTATATGTGGTCCTTGACACTTAATATTAATGTGGATGGAGCAGTCCTAAAAAAACTCAGCTCTAGAACAGCCTTGGTGACAACCCCATTATGAGAGTTCATTAGCTAACATTAGGTCAGGTTTATTTTTTGATCAAGGACTAGAATCTCTTTCTGCTCACAATAGACTACTACGAGTGCTGGAATGGCACTCCATCAATTATGTATGGGCCCATTGTACCTAGGCAGGCGATTATTTGCTGCAGGACTTCCTGTTTCTCCTTACAGATTTATTGGTTGTCAACTCATGATAGAAAGTACGTCAGGGAGACAGCACCTGGTTTTCAGCTGGTGGGCCGTTTATACACCATTAAAGAACTTAAGAAAGAAAATATCAGTACAATAAATGTTGACTACAAGAATTTGTTCTACAGAGGGTTTAGGTAAGTGTTTGATTGTAGCTCTCTTGGCATGTGTTATCTTACTTGCAGAAAATATGTGTTCCAACTAAGCTAAACTTCCCGTCTTAGGATTTCTTTCTGTGGTTATCTTGCTGGTATCCTCTGCCAATAAACATTTATCAAGTATGGAATATGCCCTTGGAATATAGATTTCAGTCCCTTCTCCTTTGTGCTATGATGACATCATTTAGCACACTTTTTTATATGCTTAGCATTTGTGTTTTTCTATAAGGTAAACACTAAAAAGTCAGAACTGAAAAATAAAAGCTTACCTTCTCCTGCCAATAACAGATGAAATATAGTAACTCATAAATAGTTTTGTGATCAAGATGGTTCTTGTTGGTATAATTAAGAATATTTCTAAACCATTATTTAAACTTAAGGGCTGAGCTTTTAGCTTAATAGTTAAGATGCCAGAGTTCCATATCAGAATGTGTGGCTTCAATACCTGGCTCCAGCTCCTCACTGCAATTTATTGTTAATGCAGACCCTGGGAGGCAGTAGTGTTAGTGCAAATGATTGGGTTCTTGCCACTTAAGTGAGAGACTAGCCAATTGTGGGCATTTGGAGAGTAAACCATCTTGTGAGTGCTCACTTTCTCTGTGTCTCTGTCTCCTTTTGTTTCCCTTGCCCCCATTCCTTGGCCTGTCAAATAAATTTAAAAAATTTTAAATCCACTTATTGAAAATCAAAACAAAATATCCAAGCATGAGAAGAAACTAAAACTATTAATACCATGTTTACAATAAACAACCGAGACAGAGTTTCAGAATTGAAAGCACTTGAGAATAACCCAGTACATTTGCAAACCTGTTATTAATCGTTGCTTAATTTGATCCATATCCCCTTACTCTTTGATTTAAGGATAATTTTTTTCAGATAATTCTAAATGCTTCAGAGACAAAATCCTTGGAGACACACAAACACACACATACACACACATACTCATATATATATATATTTCCCTCGCATGTGTATGTATGTAAATCTAAATATATGGTCTGCCAAGGTGTCATAAAAAATTCCCCTGCATATCTTTCTGCATCCCAAGGCATGAACCATGCTGTTGTATGCACCTCTGTTCCTGTTCCTGCTTTCCCTGTGATTCTGGCTATGGTATGGCGTGGTTGATCACATAATGATGTCTTTTTTCTTCTAGCATTGGAAAATTAGGTACGTTTTACTTTTTTTCCGTTTAGGAATTTTTCTCATTACTCAGGTACTTTGAGTATATTTTACTTCCTTTTATTTATTTATTTTTTCAAATAGAAAACATTCTGTGCTTGCTAGACCACAGGCTCTTATTTCAAATCCTGATCTACACATCAGCTACATGTGTGACCTTGGACAAGTTTGTGTTCATTTTCTCCTTTGTAAATTAGTTTAACAATGGTATCAGCTAGAAGTGGAATATTAAAAGACTAAAGAAGATAATTCTTACTATGCATGCAGCAAAATGCTGGGCAAATGTAAAATGACGATAAATGGTAGCTGCTGCTTTTACTGTCACCATCCCCCTATGTTGTGCTATGTGTTAATCATTTCCCATGGACAGAAGTATGCTAGTTCACCCAAGTTGATACAATTAATCAGTGGTAGACCTAGGTTTTTTTTTTTTTAAGATTTATTTATTTTACTTGAAAGTCAGAATTACAGAGAGAGAGAAGGAGAGGCAGAGAGAGAGAGAGAGAGAGAGCGCGTGCAAGAGAGAGCGAGAGCTTCCATCTGCTGGCACGTGGCCTCAACAGTTGGAGCTGTGCCGATCTGAAGTGAGCCAGGAGCTTCCTCCAGGTCTCCCCAGTGGGTACAAGGGCCCAAGGGTCCGGGTAATCCTCTACTGCTTTCCCAGGCCACAGCAGATAGCTGGATTGGAAGTGGAGCATCCGGGACTTGAACTGGCGCCCATATGGGATGCCAGCACTGCCAGGCAGCAGCTTTACCTGTTACGCCACAGTGCTGGCCCCAACCTGGGATTTAAATACAGATCTTACAGAATCCAAATTCTTCTCAAGAGGGAAGAAGTTAAAGTAACTTTAAAGTTACTCATTGGCCATAGTTGCAACTGGTATCAGATTTAACACAGATCCTATTATAAAGTCAGTTAGCTCAGCAAATACTTACTGAGCAGTACTATCTACAGTATACCAAGACATGTTTATGTGAAAGGGCAATATAAGCCAGACATCATCTGTGGGGAGCAAACCGGACTAGACTGAGTTACTGGAATTAAGACTTATTCTATGCATCTGCTCTCCCACAATATGGCGCTGGGAGAGAAGTAAACAGCTTCTACCCAGCTGCCTCTCACCAACTTGACAAGCTGCAGGACTTGCTCCTGATTGGAGGAGAGCAGCGTACTCGGCGTGTGGGCAGCCGAGTTGGGATTGGCGGAGGAGGACTATAAAGGAGGAGAGAGACGGCATGCACCAGGAACATCTAAGGGGAACACCTATTTGAAGGAACACCTGTGCAGCCCCCGAGAAGAGCCGGCCGGCGGTGTGCCGCTCCCCTGCGGAAGTGGGGAATGTGGCCAGGGGGAACTGCCCTTCCACGGAGGTGGAAGGGATAGTAGCCAACCCGGGAAGAACCAGCAGCAAACCCGGGGAGGGCCGAGCAGACGAAAGAACAGCGCAGGGTCCTGTGTCGTTCCTCCACGAAGAGGGGGAGCGACATCATCCTCCTCCAGAAGGAAGGCATATTCTCCAGTAGTGAGAGGAAGACTTTTTCCGTATAGCTGTACTGCAGAGCTAGTTGTAGTAAGTTCAACAGGTAGGACTTCCAAATCATTTCACTCAGAGATCTCTAAGTTGGAAGAGTTAAGTGGTTATACTGTAAATAGTTCTGTAACAATCAGTATATTTTGTGATTACATCACCTTTCCAGTAAATTCTCTCTGATCAATATTCACTTCCTGGTACATCAGACCAATCACAAGATGCTGTGAACATGCCAGTTTGACTAATGTTTTAAATACCTCATTTTACTAAAAATTATATGAAGACAGAGATGTACTGTTTTATTACTTTTTAAAGATTGATTTATTTGAAAAGCAAAGGGACAGAGAGAAAGAGATCTTCTACCCCCTGATTCAATCCCCAAATGCCCACAGTGGCCAGGACTGGGCCAAGCTGAAGCCAGGAGTCTGGAAATCCAGTTCTCCCATGTGGGCAGCAGGACTCAAGTACTTGATCCATCTTTGGCTGCCCTCCCAGGCACATTCTCAGGGAGCTGGATTAGATGTAGAGCAGCTGTGACTAGAACAGGTATTCTGTTGTGGGATGTGGCCATCACAAGAGGCCGCTTAACCTCTGCACCTAATTGTGTATTTTAATTTTTGTTGTCTGTCCCTTTGAGATCATATTCAAAAAATCATTTCCCAGAGAAATGTCATAGAGATTTTCTCCTACTTTTTCATCTAGTAAATTCCTTTGGCTACTTGCTAGTTTTTTGTGGTTCCATATTAATTATTTTAAAAATCTATTTATTTATTTGAAAGAGTTATACAGAGAGAGAAGGAGAGGAAGAGAGAGAGACAGACAGACAGACATGTCCTTCATCTGCTGCTTCACTTCCCAGATGGCCTCAATGGCCAGAGTTGCATTGATCCAAAGCCAGGAGACAGGAGCTTCTTCCAGGTGTCCCACACTAGTGCAGGGGCTCAAGGACTTGGTCCACAGCAGAGAGCTGGATCAGAAGTGGAACAGCTGGGATTCAAACTGGTGCCCATATGGGATGCTGGCATTGAAGGCAGCAGCTTTACCTACTACACCACAGCTCCAGCCCCCCGGTTCCATATTAATTTAAAGATTGTTTTTTATTTCTGTGAAAAATTATGGTGGACATTTGATAGGGATTGTATTTTCCTTATGGATCACATTGGGTAGTGTTGACATTTTAATAGTATTAAATTTTCCCATCCATGAACATGGGATATCTTTCTGTGTATTTGTATCTTATTCTAAGTTCTTTCAGTAGTGTTTTACAGTATTCATTGTACACATATTTCACCTCCTTGATTAGTATGTTCCTTTGTATTTTATTTTGTTCCTATTGTTCATTGTTAGTGTATGGAAATATTATGGATTTTTGCACATGGATTTTGTATCCTACAGTTCTACTGAATTTATTTCCTTTATCAGATTTTTTTTTTTTAGCTTATACATATTTTCCTTTTTTTTTTTTTTTTGACAGGCAGAGTGGACAGTGAGAGAGAGAGACAGAGAGAAAGGTCTTGCTTTTGCTGTTGGTTCACCCTCCAATGGCCGCCGTGGCCGGCGCGCTGCGGTCGGCGCACCGCGCTGGTCTGATGGCAGGAGCCAGGTGCTTATCCTGGTCTCCCATGGGGTGCAGGGCCCAAGGACTTGGGCCATTCTACACTGCCTGCCCAGGCCACAGCAGAGAGCTGGCCTGGAAGAGGGGCAACCGAGACAGAATCCGGCGCCCCGACTGGGACTAGAACCCCGTGTGCCTGCGCCGCAAGGCGGTGGATTAGCCTAGTGAGCCGCGGCGCAGGCCCTTTTTTTTTTAACTTTTATTTAATGAATATAAATTTCCAAAGTACGGCTTATGGATTATAATGGCTTCCCCCCCATAACGTCCCTCCACCTGCAACCCTCCGCTTTCCCATTCCCTCTCCCCTTCCATTCACATGAGGATTCATTTTCAATTCTCTTTCTATACAGAAGATCAGTTTAGCATACATTAAGTAAAGATTTCAACAGTTTGCTCCCACACAGAAACATAAAGTGAAAAATAATAGATGATTTTTTAAATGATGATGAAATCAGATCAGACCTATTGTCATGTTTAATCCCAGCGAGAGTCAAGTTGGGAATTGCTAATTTTTTTTTAACAGAAGATCAGTTTAGTATACATTAAGTAAAGATTTCAACAGTTTGCACCCCCATAGAAACACAGAGTGAAATATACTGTTTGAGTACTCGTTATAGCATTAAGCCTCAATGTACAGCACATTAAGGACA